AAAAGAGTTACTGCACTAAATGAGAGATGGAAACACTTTTACAGAATAAGTTCTGACGTAGTGAAAATGTGACTCACAACTTGTTGGATATTCTCATAACGCACAGAGACAAGGGAGGGGAGTACCATGACGACATAAAGGGACAAATAAAATTGTGCAAATTAACTGAATGTTAAATTAATTCAACAATTAATAGTTGTTTCTAAATTCTTGCAGTTATTGAAGTTTAATAACTCAGTTCAGGAACAAAGACTTCGCCTTCAAACACACCTGATTTTAGCACACAAAAGTATTTAAACACACCTTTTCTGTTCTCTTCTCTCTGACCAGATAAAATAAAACAGCAACTGTGAGATTTAAAAACAAACAAACAAACAAACAGGTTTGTGGAAACAAATCAATATTAATGAAAGATGAACCTCTTTTGTCCTGGTCTCCAGCTGATTTTGCAGATCGTCCTCACTCCTCTGCTTCTCCCCTTTGAGATTCTGGACTTCAGCTGTCAGACTTTCCACCTAAGAGGAAAGAGAAGATAAAGACAGAAGATGAAAGAACAATGTTATAGACAATAAAACATGACAGAAAGATTCTCCATGGTCTGATGTATGCAGCATTTTCAACTGTTCATGTTAAAGAAAAGCAGCAGGTTTCTAGTTTTAGAGATGGAGCAAATTCACAGTTCTTTTGCACCTTTAGCCACTGAGAGGCAGCAGAAACAAGTTGTGAACACAATATTAAAGGTGATGTAGTGAATTGTTAAACAGCTACTTTTTTTACACATCCTACAGTTACATTTCATGTTTGTGTCACCTGATGAATGTAAATCCAATATTAATTCTCTTTTTGGTCTCCAACTCCTGAATGAAATATCACCTGCTTTGTGTCATTATGGTGCTGAGCTGAGATGTTCTTTCATTAAGACTTTCAGAAAACATGAAAGCTACGACAAAGTCTGCCAAGTTACACTTTTGTGCAGATCAGAAACAGCAGATTAAAATACTAAGAAATGTTTTTTTTATTTGAAGATCATCATGTTCTATATTTGGAAGAGACACATTTGAAGGTGAACTGAAAACAAGCAAGCAGGTGGATAAACTTGAATAAATCGTTTGTGGCGAATACAATACTAACCTTCTCCTCCAGGGTCTGAACTCTGCTCTCTGCTTCCTCCCTCCTCTGCTGCTCATCCTGGAACTTCTGCCTGGAAACGATCGTCCACTTAAACTGAGACGAAAGATTAGATATTGGAGACAAGATGAGAGGCGTTTCTGATTAGTGAACACTAACCCTAACTGACACTTTTAAAGTCGTAGGGACACACGTTAGCAACAACCTGAAACTTGACAACTAACATTGAACACAATCATTTCAAAAGCTCAACAAAGATTTTACTTCCTCAGGCAGCTTAAAAAAAATACTTCAACTCAATAAAGATGAAGATTTGTGACCAAAATGCAGTTTTGTTAAAGGCTGCACACCTTTGTCCATGTAAGTTTGTGTTGTGGAGTTTACTCTTATTTCTGTACGAGGAAACCTTTGAGAGTATTCATTTTATTTCTACATGACCACTTACCAGAGGGAAGGAAGGCTGGACTGGAGCAACTCTGCTTCTTTCCAACTGGGAAGAAAAAGAGATTAAAGGAGTCATGTTCTTTTATTAACATATTTTAATGGTTTATTATCTAAAACATTTCAAATATTTGACCTTAAAGGTTCTCTGAAGTTTTAAACTTCTATTAGTCCTTTAAAGCTGTTTGTCTATGAATGAGTTCCAGTTTTGTTGATCTTGAGCACGAGGATGCACATGATCATATGTGGGTAACAGATACATGTTCCTGCCAGTCTTTTCATGCTATTCACTGATCTACTGGTGGTTGTAAAATGCCAAGATATGCAGAAACACACCAGCAAAGGCAGGAAGAAGAAGAAGACTGCTGTAGTAAACATGGATATAAACAATTTTGGATTTAAAATACTTGATTGAAATTAAATTTAGACTTCAAACACACACGATGTGTTTTGGTGAGTAACACTGAATGTAAATATAACTTCTGTTTAATCACAAGAAAACTCCACAGAGCACCTTCAGGTTTAAGGTCTGAATGTTCAACACATGATGATGATGAGTGTTGCTGAATGTCTGAGCATCGACATTAATACCAAATATCTCTATAAATATTTGGATACTCTGATACTTTTAGTTCAGTAGAATAATGAACCTCTCTGTTCTCCGTCTGCAGGATGGTCTCCGTCCTCTGAATCTGATCCTGGAGCTGCTGGACTTCAGCTTGTTTGTCTTCAATCTGGGAGGAACGAGAAGAGGACACAATATGAGAGACATGTTTAACTATGAATGTATATTTGAGTTAATGTACTGCAACATGTCAACAGTAACAGAAAAACTATCAAGTCTATATCATGGTTTTATTTGTGCGTCTAATTGGAAAGTTTCTGAAGTAAGTGACTCCCTCTGTGCACAGACTGGGTGAAAAGCACTCCTGCTGTTTTGGTAGCAGCTGGGCTCCATATATAATGTGGTGGTACAATAAAAATAACACACTTGAAAATGTGAATTTCTACATAAATCCAATCCTGTGAGTTTAAGTTCTTTATCACATCAAATAAGAATTTAAAATGCATCTCAAGAATAAAACACGAAACAACATTTTGGCCAGAGAAGTTGAAAGGAGGCCCTGGTGCACAGGAATAATGAGCCCCAGTAATCCAGCATCTGTATGAACTGAATACTGAATCACACCTGACCAGCCTGAGAGCCTGTGCAGACGAGGCTGTGGTTGCTTTTTGGCAGTCTGGTGGACACACTGTGAGTCACTGCTAATAATCTTTAGCACAGACTGATTTACTGATGTTCTCTATCGTTACAAAATGCATCTACTGGTTGGACAGCGTGTAATCTAAACGGATTAAAGCATTTCTCCATAATCACTGCTGTTTTAACAGCGACGCCAAACTGGCAGCAGAGACTCATTTGAATGAAGCCACCTGTTTGTGTCCTCCACTGTTTATACAGCCCCAGAGTCATTTTGTTTCTAACTGGAAATCACAGCCCTCTTAAAAAGGATAAAAATCATTCCAGTCTCAAACCCTCTTCGACCTGTTCCTGACCCAGACAGAGAAGCTAAACTGAAAACAAACCAGTAGGTGGCTGAAACCAAATCTGTTGAAGAAAAGATACAAATACAAACCTTTTTGATTTTAGTGTTTAATTCCATTTCCTGGGTCTCCAGCTTTGTCTTCAGTGTCTTCAACTCAGCTTCCTTCTCCTGTTCTTCCTTGCTTTGACCCTGGAGCTTATTAAGACAGATGACTGAACATATTATACAATCACCCATCTTGCAAAAAGAAGCATCATGACTTTTGCTGAATAACAAGTGAGAAATCTCAGCTCTCATGTAGAAGAAATTTTGCATTTCATTGGCAAAGTTTCCTGGATAGTTTTGTTTCAAGTGAGTAACACAGTTATAAAAGTAACGCAGTTACAGCAATGTATTACTTATTGCTGTAACACAGTAATATAACCCATTACTAAAAGAGAATCGATAATATTATACCCGTTACCATCTCAGTAACGTGCGTTACAACACATTTTAACCCAAAAGTAATGGGTGTTTTGTTTTTTTAATAATTCACAAACACTGAGAAACATTTCGGCAGCAGAAAAACAAATCCATGAGTAAAAGAGCAACATTATTTCTTGTTGCTGTAATCCAGCGGTGGAGATTGTAGGCAGGGTGAGCTCGACTCCTCTTAACAAGACGTTAGCTCCCCTGATGGATCGTGCGTAAATAGATTTCTATATGTGTTTGTGCTTTAACGAATTACTTCCATGATTAGAGAGGCTGCTGTCAGTTCATCCTGATCGATCCTGTCGGAGCGTCGGGAGATTAAAATGATTAATGAGGTTATGCTGCTGTATCTCCTGCGTAAATGCACACAGTGTCTTTCTTAATGGGGAGACGATTCATCCTGTTTCCCCCCCGACAGATATAACTGTGATCTATCATGTCATGTCATATAACTAATTACTCTCAAATGACAGTAACTAGTAATCTATAATGTATTACATTACACCAACACTGGTAGTAATGTGGTTTTCCCTCATTATATATTCAGATTATCTCTGCTGCTTTGTTAAAGTTGCTCATGCTGCTCAGTCTGTTTCTGCATTTGGTCTCATTCACAATCTACAAATATGGACATATTACAATAATGTACTTACTTTGTGTTGTGGTGTTATCTTAATTATATTCTAACCACTTACCCAAGAAAGGAAACTGCTGCCTTGGCTGATTTGAATTCTCTCCAGCTGGGATGGAGGTGAAGGACACAAAGAAACACATGAGTTCACATTAAATCATGTGAGTAGTTTTACAAACTAATGGGACAGTTACACTACTTACTCACACAATTACTGCATGAGTAATAATAATGTAATATTAGTACATTAGTAAGTTTGCCTACTGTGTTTTTAAAGTCAGTTTGTCATCTCAGCAACACCTGACAAACAAAACTATACTAACGGTACTTTTACTTTTTAAAGCAGGTACTTTGTAGTTTGACTCAAGTAGAAATTTAAATTGAAGACTTCTACTTTTAATGGAGTAATATTTATCAAGGATAGCTCTACTTTTAGTCAAGTACGGGATTTGTGTACCAGTGAATAAAGTAAATATTGTGTACTTTATTAATTATCATTTAGTGACTGAGAAACAGCAGAAGTGATGAGTGTTGAGCCTCTGGCTGGCTGTCACTGCTCCTCCTGCTCACTGATGAAAGGGGCCATTTAGTAGTTAGGCTGACTCCTCATTCTCTCTTTGTTGCCTTCACAACACCGAACATCCACTCAACACAACAACCACCACTGACTTAAATACAACTTAAGTTAGTTTCTGATGGTGTGTATTCTCCCTCTTTGTGTGGCTCACTGAGTCTGGGCTGTGACACAGTAAATACAGAAAGATTAAGATAAAGACATGAACCTCTTTGTTCTTGTTCTCCAGCTCTTCCTTCACAGTCTGCAGGTCGTTCTCCTTCCTCTGCTTCTCTTCTTGGAGCTGCTGCAGCTCAGCTTGTTTGGTTTCAACCTGGAAGGACAGCGAGAAGTTTTAAAGAGAGGAAATGAGACAAATGTTCTTTTTACTAACATTTAATACTTTACACTATAAATTAATATCTGTAACAAAAAAAACACATATAAGACTTTATTTTGTACTTGACCTACATAAACTACTGTGAGTTTGACTTTTTATACATTAGATGACATAAAAATATGACTTTATACTAAAATCAGTGTATTATATTATCAAACTAAAGATGAACCTCATTCCTCTTGGTCTCCAGCTCATCTTTCAGTGTCTGAACTCTTTTCTCAGCTTCATCCCTCCTCTGCTGCTCCTCCTGCAGCTGCTGCTCCTTAAACTGAGAGAGAGGAGAGACAGAAACAGGGACAAGAATCCAGACATGATTTTAGCCATATTTATTTTATATATATATATTATAAATTTGAACAGTATTGCATTTGTTTCTTGCCTCTCTACCTCGTTAACTGTTGCGTTGTTTTAATCAGGTATGTGATTGGCAAAGGGCAAAAAAGCAGGAAAATATACTGAGACCCCCCCACACCCGGGATCCACCTCACCCTCAACCCCATCTTTCCCCAAATAAAACCTGTTAATCCCCAGAGTTGCGTTTGGGTCCACCCTGTCCCCACACTCCACAACACAAAGGTTGTTTTGTGTATTGATAAAATGTAGAAAAAAGTTTGACATTTCAACTCTTGCAGCGGGCAGTCGTGTGCGTGAGACAAGAACGACCGCGGCAGTTTCACGGGATTGCACCAGTTACACAGAAACCGTTGCCATGGTTACCTCGCAGAGCACTTGTTTGCCTGTCTGTTGATGGGGAGCGCAGAGCGACCCCGCGGATCAAAGCCGTATGAAAAGGCCTTATATAAATCCTGTCACAACCATTCACAAGAATCTTTTTTATAACGTGCCAAAACCTTTAACATAAGGAAAGTGCAAAGTGTGTGTAGACTACAGGAGTGATCAATCGACAACAAAGTCAAAGTAAACTTTAGACATAGCCTATAACAAGCGATAATCAAAACATACGCGAGAGCGACTGTGGTACACACTGCGCAGGTGTGGAAACATCCTTGTTGATACTTGGAAAGGGAGAAAATTTTACACGTCAGCCTATATAAATGACCTCCAATCCTTTCCATTTCACTCCGCCAGCTCCTGAACCCCCCTCTTCTTTTTTTTATTAAAGATCTGCATGATTCACATGGGTCAGATTTACAGGTCACATCCTTGTTTAATCTCCATTGACTTTTGCTTTCAATGTTATGTCCTGTTTCTTTACTTACATGTTTTGTCTTTCTTTCCCCTTTTTTGTTCTTCACACTCTTCATTGTCACTGTTTCATTTGTCATGAGCTGCTCTCTTTCTGCTTCAATGTGGAGCTGATCTTCAGGTTTGTTTCTTTTAAAGCGCTCCTTCTGTTCTCCTTTATCCATTTCATTCCTGTGGCTTCTCTTGCTCTCTGTGTGAAAATACAGGCAGTAGAATTAAAGTCATGTCCTTGCATCACAGCATATGAGACATTTGAGTCTAAAATCAGGTGTTAATGGGCTACAAAAATAAGACACCTGACAATTTCACTTATTGCTAATAAAAGTAGAAAAAACACCACATATTTAAAAAAAATACTGACAATTTGATCATATTAATTTACACAATTAATCACATTACTATGTCCCATTAATCTGTAATTAATTTACAACTCACTGATTCTGTTCAGTCTGTTCTGTCTCCATTTCCACACAGAAAAGATAAGTAACAAAATGATCACGATGCAAGCAGCCAAACAAACAGCAAATCCAACTGTGATGGAGGACAAACTGGACTGGACCTCAAAGAAATCATCTGAAATGATAAAACACAAAATAACATGTTGTTTATAGAACACTAGACCTCAGCTATTTGAAACTAAAACATTGATCACATCATCAATCATTTCTACCTGGAACCTGGATGTGAGTCTCTCTGGTCTGCTTGATATTCTTCTGTTGGACTCTACAGGTGAAGCTGTTGCTGTATCTCTTCTCCACAGTCACTCTGCTGCTGACAGTATAGAGGTCATCAGGACCTCTGACTGTCTCTGTAGGTCCAGCAGAGAGGAGGTTTCCCTCACCTCCCAGCCAAAACACCTCAGGCTCTGGATACCAGCCTGCAGACTCACACTGTAACACCACTCCCCCTTTGTCTCTGTCAATCCCTGCTAAAATGATGACAGGTGAGGAGACGGCCCCTGATGTTGAGCAAGAGGAACATTTAAAATACAGGTCAGTTTTACAAAGACTGCATTAATAATTAAAAGAGATGTATAAATGTAAATCTGAAACATTTTATTTTGTCCAATTCTTTGGTAAATATTTACAAAACTAATGAGATTCCAGCCTCAGCTGCACTTTGTGTTTGGTCCAAATGATCAAATGTTAACATGTTAACACATTAAACTACAACAAGGTCAAATATAAACCTGCTAAACTTCAGCATGTTAGTATTGACATTATGAAGATGCATTTAACTTAATGCACCGCTGTGAATGGTGTCAAGATTTTGGAGGCTCATGTCTTTTTTATCTGTCTAAAAACACAAGAAAATAACTGGGATCTGGCCAGAAACTACAGGTTGAAAAAATCTCTGTTAAATTAACCAATACATTAATGAATACATCATTTACAAAGTGTAATTTTTGCTTTAATGTAAGCGGCCAAAAAGTTTTTTCAGCTTTTATTTACATTAAAGAAAAAAAATTAAGGACCAGTTGTTTCACACATTAATTTTGGAAAGTCAATCTGCTGCCTGTCTTGGAAATCGTATATATATGGTGTGATCTAAAGAAGCAACAGTAACATCGGGCTGCAAGGCTTCATGCAGGGTCAGCTGACATCTATTTGAAAGTCTGTCATAAAGTTAGTCACATCACATTCTGTTTAATTTATATGATTGTATGTATTACATTTAATTCAGCTGTTCTCAAGAACATGTAACCGTTCCACTGGAGTTTGATGGCTGTGAACTCTTCACGTCCTAACATGAATGGCTGAAAGCTGTTTTGATCCTACCTCAGTTATTCACTGGATCCGCTGCACAGACTACACACCAAACTGCACTACACATACATCATGTATCTACTCACCAACAACAAGCTCAACGGAGGCGTCTGTGTTCATATCTGGAATGTAACATTTGTATCTCCCCTCATCAGAAGGTTTCACTTTGGAGAGTTTCAGTGAAATGTTTCCGTGCTTCAGTTCATCAGTGAACAGAGTTGTTCTTTCTTTGTAGAAAGGATTTTTTTCATTTACAAGTTCCTGACCAGCACGCCACACATAAACAAATCTGGGGTCCAGGTCTGGTCTTGTCCAGTCAAAAGTCTTGGCAGCAACATCCACTGCAGGCTGCAGATGACATGGCAAGATGACGTCATCGCCAACTTTTGCCACTATTGGCCGAGGAGAACCAATTAACTGAGATCGACCTGGAAGGAAACAAAATATTGTTATAAGTTCTTTTAGTAAGAACTAGTTAAATTAGTTCAGCTCTATAAAGTAGGGCTGAACCATATACAAAAAAATCATAGGTGTATTTTGACAGATATTACAATTTTTATATTTTTAAAGTAAATAGTGTATTTACACTGTTGCTGGGCTCACATTGATGTGCAGCACGGATAAGCATACAGCCTAACGATCAGGTCTTATTGAAAAATTTTAGTCTTGTCAAAAGTCATAATAACAAACGAATTGTGACAGTATGACACTACAACTCCCGTGAGTACTACCTGCACACAGTGTTTGCTCATTGGTCCATTAGTGAAGCCTATTGTCTTGCACGCTACTGACGAACGACACCGTAAACAAGAAGACGTTGTGGGGTTTAAACTCGCGGATTGGCCGTCGGACCAGTCTGGCCTGCCGTTAATTATCCACTTAACCAGCGGCAGCCATGACAAAGCAAGCTTTTTTAATAGCTTTAAGATAAAGACATGAAATCCACAAATCCACACAACATGCGCGTCTCAGTCTCTCACTTCTCTGAATCTGCCACAGATCAGCCAAAGTCCCTCAGACCTGTAGACCGTCAGCCTCCTGATCACTTTTAACTTGATGGTATGATCTCTGTCATCACACGCGACTGGTCGCATGCACACACGCATCAACACAGGGTTCAGTCAGTGCGTGGCCGAGCAGCGTGGAGAGAAAATGCACAGGAGAACGAAGGAAAGAGAAAAGGCAGACCACAGGCGGGGAAAAGCAGGAGGAAAGTGGCATTAAATGCTGTAAACTATTTATATCTTCATGATTAAGGAACATGCTGGTGTTTATAAAAGAATACAACAGACTAGCAGGGATGCCCTTCATATTGTCATATCACAACTACCTTTCCAGAGTTGATTCTATTTTTTTAATAAAAAGTTTTTATACCATGTATGAAAGCAGAAGATGCATTTGTAGGGGAATAATCTGGAAAATAAATACCTGTATACTCAATTCATATGTTCAGTGACTCAGAGCTACAGCAGAGCTTCATGATGATGAACATAAATGAGGAAAACAAGCACTCCAAAAGTGCACAAAAATGATATAGGCCTATACTGTCACGCTCTGCCGGTTGGCCATCCTTTGTGTTTACTTTTGAGTTTGGTATCTGCCTTGGTATGTTGAGTTTTGGGTTCTGTCCTGTCTAGTGTCCAGTATCTGTTATATAGTCTGCTGTCATGTCTAGTCTCTCTGTTTTCCTCTGCTCTCTCTCTCTGCCTCGTTAGTCTCATGTCTGTCACCTGTGTTGCTCCCGCCCTGCTCGTTAGTCCCTGTGTATATATACCTGGTGTTTCTGTCTTGTCCTTGTCCGGTCATTGTTCATGTTACCCCCCAGTCTGTCGTGTGTGTACTCTCTGCCTGTAACCAGCCTTGCTTGTCTTGTCTCGTCTCGTCTCGTCTCCTCTCCCTGTACTTTGGATTTCTGTTATTCAGCCACTCACCTGTAAGTGTGCTCGCTTTTGTTTGTTTATTAAAACCCTTCGTTATACCATACCTGCTCCGCTCTGTGTCCTGCGTTGGGTTCTCCAACCTGCCTCCACACCACGATCGTGACATATACATATTGCCTTAACTGTGTTATTTTTTCATTTTTGTTTCTAATGCAGATAACTTTTCTACTCTGTATTACAGTATTTAGCCAGCTACTTTTATAAATGCAGAGGATATAAACAATGATTTTTGTTTTTAGTTTAGTTTTTATCTTTTCAGTTAATCTTTTACACCCATGCAGCACTTTTACTATATACAATAAGAAGCTGCTATTTTAATGTGTTTATCTTAATAGACCTTAATAGACCATTTTTCACAACCTTATCAGAGCTGATGATGATATTAGTACATTTTAGCACACCAATTTAAGCGTGCTATTGTCAACGTAATTCGTATAAAATGTAATTTCCCTAGGCTAGTGAAGATGCTGCGTGGCTAGTAACTTTGAAAAACCACTAGCCACATTGGCTAGTGAGCAATAAGTTCATGTCAAGCCCTGCAACAGATATATTTGCACATGCTTTGCCAATCATGTTGAGCCTTGGGAGGAGATTATCTTCAGAAAACTCATAGTTTCACATCTCAGACTCAATCAACTCAGAGCTCAGGGATAAGCAGAGTTTGTTAAGTCTGCTTGCTGAAACAGGGCCCTGGTGTTACAGACATGGAAAGTTTTCTGTCACTTAAACATCTGCATGCAACTCGTTTAAATGTTTTATATGTGGGTGATGCTCACACACAGCTGAAATATGTTTTTCTGGTCTTATTATTTGTGTTTTTTTTTCCAGAGAAGAACTAAGAATATCAATTCCTCAAAACAGTCAACAGTCCATGCAAATACTGATGTTGTTTTGTTTTGTTGTGAGCTGTGAACCAAAACCCAAAACAGAAATACTCTTATACAATAATATTTGTGTGTGAGTTTACCTGTACAAAATGTGATAGAAGATGGACGATGAAAAAAAGTATGGTTCTGAGCGAACATTGAAGAGACAGTCCAGCCATCTGGTAAAACATCCTGCAGTTTGGAAAATGGACAGAAACCATGGAAACATTATTGTGTGGAAAAGACTGAAGTTGTGTTGAGATAAAATATGATTTAAAATCCTGATCTTGTCTGTTGACTAATTTTATCACTCAATCCCCAATTCAAATTATTACATTTAACAAAAAACTGTTTTCTTTTAATTTGAAGTCTGCTCAGGATTGAGTTTATATTTGACCACACTGCTTATTCTGCAGAAACACTAGTTCAAATTAAAAACTTAGATGAGTAAAACGTACCGTTACATAGTTACATATTTATAAAAGGTTAAAGGCTACATATTTAATCATATTCTTTTCTGGGTTTGAATTTAAACAAAGCCCTACAGACTTCACTGACCTTCACTGAGACCTTACATAAATAACATGACGTGACTTTTACTTTCACTTTTGTCACACAACACAGACAGAACATTAGAAAACTGCGCTTTTCACAAAACTCTTTCTTAGTAAATTAAAGTTTTTTGATGCTGACAGAATCGTTTCATAAAACCCTCTCCATTGCACAAAGTCCATGCCAGTAATATTTCATGTAAGATGATAAAGACTCTCAATACTCGACAGGTTGCTCTCAAACTAGCAGGCGTCCTGTTCAAATGACTAAATAATCTAAAACTGATTAATTTTAAAATGGTAAGATAAGAAATAGGCTTCAGTAAAACAAAAAAACACAAAAGCTAACGGTCTGTTATTATGTGCATTTAAATAGATGTTAGACGAAGCGTTGAACAAGGACAATTCGACGTACCTGCTGTCTGTTCAAGGGACTGCTGTTAATTATTAATCCAGGTAAAGTTGGTGTAAACCTGTTCTGGCCGGGCAGCCTGAGAGAAAGTCAAAGACGCGTTCCCGTCTCAAAACGTTTTGGACCACTTTGCTACGATTTCCGGGTGGGACGACTTGTTTTCTGGGACATATTCAAAGCTGCACATCGGGCTTCATGGGCTTCAAGGTATGTGTTCTCCTGTTTGGAGGGCGTGTGTCACAGGTGTTACCCAATCAGCAGCTAGGCCTGTATAAACACCGCCCTGTTAATATAATTGTTTCACTCTGGTTAACTGCAACTTGTTCATTCAGTAGATTTAGTTTAAAATTGCAAATGCAGTTCAAACTTCCATGTTTTCCCCTTCAGTGTTAACCCATCTTTTTTTATTTAGCCTATTATTTTTTTAAGTATAGAACAACAATGTAATTACAATAAAGTCATCATTAAACCACATTAATAAAGCTGTCAGGTTTAGCCTGAGATAAAATGTAGGCTTAATATGCAAGGGAAATAAATTTATAGGTTTACAAACTAGACTACTATGACATGTAGCAATACCATTAATATGTACATTAATAAGTAGAATCTAAACCAACCATTGTGATCCCATTTGGTTTCCAAACTAAGTTTCATGTCAGTGGTGGACACAGGGATTCCCCCATGCAAGAAAAAAACGCTGCAAAATTGCCTCTTGAATGCCCCTTTGAGTGAAGAAACTACTACTTACTACTTCATACTTAACGCCTCAAAGTATACTCTGCGTTTATTTGGAGGTGCAAGTTACTTTGTGTTATAAGATTTTTCCTAACATAACATGTTTAGCTTGAAACATGTTATATTAAAGAATAAATACCCCATCAGTATGTAAGACTGTTAAATTTAGCTCCACCTTCAACTACAACATTAGAGGTGCTTGCACATCAATGCTTTAGGATAGTTTAACATTGTAGTAATATAATAGAAATTAATTCTGACATTCTGCCTGTGTAAAACAAGGGCTTTTACCTGTGATAATTTGTAAATGAATTAATTTGCTTATAACCAGTCCTCAGGTACGGTGTCCTTTACATATTGCTGGTTGAGTTTTGCTGTGGCTGTAACATGAACATAATTGATAAGCTTGCACAGATGTAAGATTTCCTCATGGAGTATACTTACATCGGAGTACTTATACTTATAAAAAGTTTGCAATACTTTTATAACCACTGCGTTGCAGACAGTCAGATGATTGAACATTATTATCATTGACAGGGATGAATATTTGGCGAGTCTTTGAAATTAAACAGACACAACCAGATTTTTATTTATTTTTTATATATTTTATACAGATTAAAGATAAATAAAAATATGATGTAAGGATTATGCAGGAGCAGTGGCGGTTCTAGACCAATTTTATTGAGGGGGCCAGACTGGGGCCAGTTGTTTTGTCAGAGGGGCACATTCAATCGGAGACAAATGAGACAAAGGCAATGTTCAAGCTTTGAAAATGTCCCGTTTAGTATATAATGTAATGTTTTAGTATGTTTCAGTAACTTACAGTTATTTGTTTCAGTAACAGGATCTTTTCAGTAACTTTATATTAGTTACACAAAAAAAAACATTCCTGTTAGACCAGTAGTAGTAACATTCCTGTTATCA